GGCTATTGCAGAAAACACGGAGGCATGGGATTGAGGGTGATTTAGTGGTTTGGATCAGAAATTGGCTAACTGTAAGAAGACAGAGGGTGATGGTTGATGGGAAATGTTCATCCTGGAGTTCAGTTACTAGTGGTGTACCGTAAGGATCTGTTTTGGGGCCACTGCTGTTTGTCATTTTTATAAATGACCTGGATGAGGGCGTAGAAGGATGGGTTAGTAAATTTGCGGATGACACCAAAGTTGGTGGAGTTGTGGATAGTGCGGAAGGATGTTGCAGGTTACAGAGGGACATAGACAAGCTGCAGAGCTGGGCTGAGAGGTGGCAAATAGAGTTTAATGCGGAAAAGTGTGAGGTGATTCACTTTGGAAGGAATAACAGGAATACAGAGTACTGGGCTAATGATAAGATTCTTGGTAGTGTGGATGAGCAGAAAGATCTCGGTGTCCATGTGCATAGATCACTGAAAGTTGCCACCCAGGTTGATAGCGTTGTTAAGAAGGCGTACAGTATGTTAGGTTTTATTGGTAGAGGGACTGAGTTTCGGAGCCATGAGGTCATGTTGCAGCTGTACAAAACTCTGGTGCGGCCGCACTTGGAGTATTGCGTACAGTTCTGGTCACCGCATTATAGGAAGGATGTGGAAGCATTGGAAAGGGTGCAGAGGAGATTTACCAGGATGTTGCCTGGTATGGAGGGAAGGTCTTATGAGGAAAGGCTGAGGGTCTTGAGGCTGTTTTCGTTAGAGAGAAGAAGGTTAAGAGGTGACTTGATAGAGACACACAAGATGATCAGAGGATTAGATAGGGTGGACAGTGGGAGCCTTTTTCCTCGGATGGTGATGGCTAGCACGAGGGGACATAGCTTTAAATTGAGGGGTGATAGATATAGAACAGATGTCAGAGGTAGGTTCTTTACTCAGAGAGTAGTAAGGGCGTGGAATGCCCTGCCTGCAAAAATAGTAGACTCGCCCACTTTAAGGGCATTTAAATGGTCATTGGATAAACATATGGATGATAATGGAATAGTTCAGGTTAGATGGGCTTCAGATTGGTTTCACAGGTCGGCGCAACATCGAGGGCCGAAGGGCCTGTACTGCGCTGTAATGTTCTATGTTCTAAACGGTTACACCAGTTGCTGTTCTGATACATCAGGTACTTTAAATTGTTTTCAGTAGCTATTGCGAGTTAATAAGGGCTCAAATAACCTATGGAGAGAAACTCATCCTGGTTAAACCCACTTCTTGGATGATGAGTGAATTGAGTTGGGAAGTCATGTTGAGGTTGTACAGGACATTGCTGAGACCTTTTCTGGAGTACTGTGTCCAGTTCTGTTTGCCCTGATATAGCAAGGATATTATTAAGCTGGAAGTTAAGTAGGGATTTACTAGGCTGTTGCCAGGAATGGAGGGTTTGAGTTATAAAGAAGGGCTGGATAGGCTGGGACATTTCTTCCCTGGAGTGGAGGAGGTTGAGAGATGACTTTATAGAGATTTATAAAATCATGAGGGGCATGGATAAGGTGAACAGCAAAGGTCTTTTCCCTAGGATGGGGGTTCAAAACTAGAGGGCATAGGTTTAAGGTGAGAGGGGAAAGATTTAAAAGGGACCCGAGGGGCAACTTTTTCCATACAGAGGATGGTTCGTGTGTGAAATGAACTACTGGAGGAAATGGTAGATGCAGACACAGTTACAACACTTAAAAGACATATGGACAAGTACATGAATGGGAAGGGTTTACTCAGCAACATCTTTTCTGCACCCTTTCAAGTTTAACAATATCTTCCTGGTCTATCTGCTATAGAAAATATGTTGTTAAACTTGAAAGGGTACAGAAAAGATTTACAAGGATGTTGACAGGGTTGGAATTAAAGTCCTTAAAATCACTTGACCCAAAACGCAGCATCATAGAGCACTTAATCCTAGGCCTGGTAATTATTTTCTAACCTTGAATTAACATAACATTGGTAATATATGCAAACAGTTCCCAAAATTGAAAAATTCAGATGACAAGTCCAATATGAAAAGATAGGTATTTTAAATAACTTCTACAATCTGACACTGAAAGTAAGCAAAGAAAAGGAATATAAAGGTAGATGAAGTTACACTTAAAATTTCCAAATATCTTACATGGCAGTGGGAGTGTCGGTGGTACGGAGGGGATGGATGAAAAGCACACCTTCCAAAGCTGCAATAATTCTGTATCTGAAGAGTTCAAACATCTCTAATATCTACCCACCTTCATAATGTTAATGGAGAGTTCATGCACGTGTTGTTGGCTCTTCTCATGTTGAAATATCTGTAATAGAAAATAATTATTGCTATGAAATATGACAAGAATTTTGTACCCATCACTTGATGAAATATAACATGCACTCCACCAAACAAATGCAAGCTTAAGGATCCGGTCAACAAATGAAATCAAGACTAATCTACCTGAGACTATTAAGTGTTGAACACGTTATCTGTCAAGTATTAACCTCTGCTACATTAAATTACAGCTCTGCTTGCCGACACCCAGAAGCATATGCACAACATTTTATTTCAAATATATTTAAATAACACAGTGAGAAATACATAAGACCTAATCACAAAAAAATTAAATAATATATCATGCAAGAAAAATAAAGTGTCAATTGAACAGGATTTTTATTTTAATATTTAAAAGTTGTTTCAATATTGTGCATTTGGAAATAAATCGGCAGTAAGTATGCACAGTCACAGGATCGTTGGTGTCAGCAAACATATATTAATTTTAAAGGTCACAAACATATTGAGTCAGGTGCACCTGTATAGCTCTAAATCCATTTAGAACACTGTCAGAAGCTGTTCAACGTTGCAAGTTCAAATATCAATTTGTGACCTTTCCTAATGCTTTCTGTATTTGTCCTACAGACCTGATAAGGTCAGTTAAATAAAGAAGCTATGTAGCAACCAAGAATACACAAATCAACTAACAATTTTGAGAAGGTATTCATCTCTAATTGACAGCAATAAATGTTTAGCTTCTAAATGACCCTAAGATGTACTCATTTACAACAACTAGATCCTAAGGGATAGTCCAGGGACATCCAGCTCCAACTCAAGGGACAGAGTAGTATAGTAATATTGCACCAAGCTCTGGTTGTACAGCAATGACTGCACTTCAAAAGGTATTTCACTGGCTTTGAGCACTATGGGGTGTTCAGGAGTGGTAGAGTTTAAGTTTTATTGTTGTGGTTTTTAACATTTCTGGTTTGATTTTCTTAAGGACAGTGATAATTTTTCAAGTACTTTCCATAATTTCTACATTAATTACACTACACAAGTTTATGACATGGCAATAATTAACTACACGATTGACAATGAGTTTGCTTTAAGCGTGATTCTTCAAATTACTGTTCAATCACCAAATGGAGCAGCACCTGCATGGAAAAGGTGAACATCTTAGTTTATTTGATATACAACATGGAAAAGGAAAAGTAATATGAAAAAAGACAAGGTATGTTTCAAGTGATTTCTCCAGATGTGCTTCAAGACTTTGGAAATGCCAAAGGGAAATTACTCAAAAACATAAAAAGTAATTCAGGATAGCAAAGCTTACATTGGTTTCTCCAGGTTTGCAGTCTATGGTTTCGTTGAGACTTTGTAGAGTTTGCACAACATGATGTTCAAATTGAGCAGGCTAGAAAAAAAATGCACATATTTTTAATCAAACATCACAATGTCTTATATGTAAGAGAAGATTATTAATTACGAAGACAATGCAACTCTTTAGGTTAGAAGGTAGCTGAAAGCATTTCCTGAACCTTATTGGAATGTCAGGCTAACAACTTATCTACATTTTTAAATAATTCAGCCTTGACATTTGCTCACTGAAACTGATAGACTTTGGAGCTAAAATCCTGAATTTGCTTCAATATTTAATTGTTCCTAAATTCACTAATGCAAAACAAACTACATAAAATATTTACTTTTTTTAATAAAGTTTTTCTTTTATAAAAGCCAAATAAAAATGTGGGGAGAAAACACTTGACATGTCTTGCTGCTCAAATCTGGGTTCTCACATTCACAACTATGGCTAAAACCCAGGTTATAGTGTGTGATAAGACTATTTTTGCTTGATATCGAAATACAACAAAAATCATACCTTCATTGGTCTTTTAGCAATACCTACATTTATAGAAAAGACAATTTTGTCTTCAAAGTTATTTCTGTCAACACTTTTGTTAAAAGTTTCAGATTATCTCAGATGATACACTCATTCCCACTGAATCCCTACAGTGTGGAAGCAGGTCATTCGGCCCATCAAGTCCACATTGACTCTCTGAAGTGCATCCCATCCAGACCCACATCTCTACCCTATCCCTGTAACCCTGGCTAACCCAACTGGCCTGCACATCCCCGGATACTATGGGCAATTTAGCATGGCCAATCCACCCAAACTGCACATCTTTGGACTGTGGGAGGAAACTGGAGTACCCGGACGAAACCCACACAGACACGGAGAACGTACAAACTCCACAGACAGTGGCCCAAGGCTGGAATTGAACCCGGGTCCCTGGTGCTGTGAGGCAGCAGTGTTAACCACTGAGCCACCGTGCCCCTAAAGCATTGCTTTAGTTGTGCAAAAATTATCCCAGTCTTATTTAATATCATTACACAGAATAACAATGACCAAATTACATTAACATTTACCTCAGGAGCTAGTTATGTTTTTTGCATCATCTTATGTGCCTAGGTGACAGGCATAAATACTTATACAATTTTAATCACAATAATGCTGAATGAACCAGTAATCAATGCATTTTTGAGGGAAATCAATTTAATCCAATATGCACAATCCTTGTGAAATAAATTGTACAAAAGACTAAACAGAGTATGTGGGTCAACAATATAATAGAAAAATTAACATAACAGCGTTCAGATGATTTGACATATTCATGCAAACGGTCAGTAAAACTGACAAAAGGAGGAAGCTGGGAAAAACACAAGAGAACTTGGCATACAGATGCCATAAAAGGTGCAAAGAATGTGAGAATAGATAAAATGAGACACCATTCGAACACTGAAAGGCACTGGCCCTGAAAAGTCAATGGCTGGGCAGTTGTTTCTGGGTGTGTGTCTGGACCACATGTAATTCTTTACACAGCTACTTCTGAGGGAACTGCCTGGGAAATTGAAATTTCCAAAGAGAGAGTCTGCTCCACTTGAAACCCTCCAAGAAAGCTCCTTAAAGTCATAGAATTTGGAGTGTTCTACTTAAACTTAATTATTACCCAGAAGTAGTTAGAGGATTAAAGCCTGCTCTAACTCCTGTATAACTATTACTAGAAAAGTTTACTCACCACAGACCTGACTCCCCCCTACATGTCCCCAAACTACACCCACTGAACTCCTAGCAATGCACACCTACTGCTGACCCAACACTACACCCCTCCCCCCTCCCCAGACCTAACACCATGCACATCAACAGCCCAATCCAACACTCCCCTACTAGCCCAATTTAACCCAACATACATAGTCTGACATACCAGGTCCAGAACTATGACACTACACCACCCATTTACCTGCCACCTTCACCATTCCTATCCCCCCCTCCAAACACCCTGGTACACTACCACCTAACATGCGACTCTACCCCTCATTTATTGTGGACTATTATTTTTACTGTGTTGTGGTCAAACTGGCTTTGGGACTTTTAAACAATTTATGTCGCGAAATCTGGCAGCAAGTACTGCAAAAAAAGGGACACGCCTTGGTCTGTAACAATGCTCCTACACTATGGAGACAGATAGTAGGAACTGCTGATGCTGGAGAATCTGAGATAACAAGGTGTAGAGCTGGATGAACACAGCAGGCCAAGCAGCATCAGAGGAGCAGGAAAGCTGACGTTTCGGGTCTGGACCCTTCTTCAGAAATCATTC